TTCATGTTCCGATTTAGAAAGGCAAGAAATAGATGTCTTGTACCATTACCCGAGAGAACGTTTGCTGAATTTGCTTTTAATGGTTTAAAGTTTGCCATTAGGGAAAGAATGGTAGGTCAGGCCTATTATGATTTGTTTTCATTGACTACCATTGCTGTGAAGCATGAAAACTTTTTGAAAGAAAAGGATCAGAAGCATACTAGACATGAGATAAACTTGGTCGATGAAACACTAGTCGATGAAAACGAATCAGAGTATGCTGAGGTGGCAGTTGCCAAGATGATAATAGAAAAGCCGTACACTTGTCCTGCTTTGAAGCCAGCTAAAACAAAAGAAAAGGGAACCGTCATGGTCAAATCAACGGATGTCCAGTATTATTCTTTTGACATAAATAAGGTCGATGAAATATTTGATTTTCTTTTGGCTGATGGGCAAATCAAGCTTACTGAAGGCCAAGTTATACCAAGCCCAGAAGATATGAGAGGAAAGAAATACTGTAAGTGGCATCACTCATGGAGCCACAATACAGTTGATTGTATTGTGTTAAGAAAGAACATTCAAGAAGCAATTCGACAAGGCAAAATCAAATTCGCAGATGACAAAGAAAAGGCTCCTATGGAGGTGGATGTTGACCCATTCCCCATGATGACGTGAATGGTATCATTAAAACCTAAAGGTAGAATGATGCAGCCACACCTATGTGCTCGGTGTAAAGAAGAAATCAATTATGATCGACGAAAAGAGCATCTTTCGAAACAGGATGTTTCACAAGAAGAAACTTTTTGGGATCAATTTGGATATCAAAATTATAACAAAAAGACTGAATATCAGAGTCGATCCCGAAATGGTCAAGACAGGAATAAACGTCCGAATCGGGAGCAAAATGCTCAGGTTGTCAATAATTCGATACAATACCCAACAAAAGGGAAGTCTTTCAAGCAACGCTATGAAGAGGGCGACCTTAGAATTGGAACATTAGGAGAGCCTAGTGGTAAATTTGACTACTATGTTGACTATGGTCCACCTCCTATATATTCGGAGGAAGTGGTTGCAACTGGATGGGGTGAGGAATTCGATGATCCACCTAAAAGAGAGACCAAGACGACTGTAACGCTTCATCGAACTAGAACTTTGAAAATACCAAGCAATCCGCCAGAAGATGAGTGGTTTGAATCAGGAGAAGTTCAAGGTCCATGGGGCAATGTAACAAGGACTCAAAAAAGGAGGTTACAAAGGAAGAAGAAGATGCATGAACTACAAAGACAGGTTAATCAGATTCATATTACTCAAATTCCATCAATACCTTACAAACCTAAGAAATTCCGAGCTAGGAATTTAGTATGGAAAAGGAATCCTGGGGATTCTAGCCAGGATAAGCACAGTAATGATCAGAAAAAGGCTAAGACTAATGACAAAATTGTACTTAGACCTGCCATACTATCGAGATCTATTTCGCCTTTGAGTTCATGCATGGTTCAAGCTAGACTTCCATTGCAATATAGAGTGACATCTGTAGACTGAACAACCAATGGAGGTTCAATTATTGATGAGGAAGACAATGCAGAATTTCAATTCGAAAATGAAGAAGAATTAATGGAGTTTGAAAAACCGTCTCACGAAGGATCCAAACATTTTAGGGCACTTAATATAAATGCTAGGATAGATGGCCGTCCGGTTTCCAAGGTTCTGGTCGATGGAGGATCCACTTTAAATCTGGTTCCATATAGGTTCTTCAAAAAGATAGGAAAAAGAGATGAAGAAATTATCTCATCGAATATACAATTGTCGGATTTTACAGGAGAAGTAACAAATGTCAAAGGAGTATTTGTGACTGACTTAACTGTAGGATCTAAAACTTCTAGAACAGCTTTCTATGTTATCGAGGCAGATGGTTCATATAATGTGCTGTTAGGAAGAGATTGGATTCATGGAAATCAGTGTGTACCATCGACCCTTCATCAAATGTTAGCTTTCTGGAACGGAAGCAAAGTTGAATATGTTAAAGTTAATAGTAAGGCTCATGTGTCATGGGCACATGCGTTAAGAACTGATCGAGAGTTAAGGAAGATGCCAGATGATAATTCATGTGTTATCGAACCACCAAGAATTGATTCAAGAGATGTTGCATTCTGTCAGTTTGACAAGGGAAATGTCCGTTGGATTCCCAAAACTGACCTGGCGGGGTGTTTGGACAAGGTTGTTCATGGAGAACCTTACATTATTAGGCGACCTCAATAAGAGGTATACGACCTATAAGGCCGAAGTAAGCAGTTAAGATCTTAATGACTACATTATGGAATTTGAAGAATCACCCCTCAAAGAGGACAATAAATTTATTGAAGCTCAAGACCCGCTAATAGAAGTTGATATTGAAAATGCCCAACACCATCGATCAATTTTTATCAGTGCATTGTTAGATGAGGTTGCAAAGTCCCAGTTGATTGAGTTATTACGAAAGCATAGAGATTGCTTCGCATGGGATTATCATGAAATGCCAGGATTAGGATGGGATGTGGTTGAGCATAGATTGCCAATTAAGAAAGGATTCCGAGCACACAAATAACCACCAAGAAGGTTTGCACCAGAAATTGTGCAGAAGGTCAAAGAGGAAGTTGAACGCTTGTTGGCAGCAGGCTTTATTAGAACTGCAAGATATGTCGAGTGGTTATCAAATGTCGTGCCAATTAAAAAGAAGAATGGAAAGATAAGGGTGTGTATAGATTTTCGTGATCTAAATGCAGCAACCCCAAAGGATGAGTATCAAATGCCAATGGCAGATATGTTAATCGACTCGGCATCTGGCAATGAGATTATGCCATTAATGGACGGTCATTCGGGTTATAATCAGATATTTATATCGAAAGAAAATGTTCATAAAACAGCATTTCGATGTCCAGGAGCTATTGGGACATTCAAATGGTTGGTAATGCCATTCGGATTAAAAAACACTTGAGCAACTTATCAGAGGGCTATGAATTTTATCTTCCACGATATGATTGGGGATTTCATGGAGGTCTACATCGATGACATCATCATCAAATCAGACCAGATAAGTCATCTAACCTATCTTGAGCATGCTTTTATAAGGATGCAGAAATTTAAATTGAAAATGAATCCTTTTAAATGTGCTTTCGGGATAAGAGCTGGCAACTTTCTAGGGTTTATGGTTAATCAAAGGGGAATAGAAATAGATAAAAATAAAACTAAAGCTATTTGGAATTGCCACCACCTGTAAGCAAGAAACAATTGCAGATGATTATAGGTAAAATAAATTTCTTGCGTCGATTTATTGCTAATCTGTCAGGTAAGATAGAGGTATTCTCTCCATTACTTAAGCTTAAGAATCAAGATCAATTCGTTTGGAGGAAAGAGCATCAACATACTTTTGAGCAGATTAAAAACTATTTGATCAGTCCACCAGTTTTGATGCCACCCAAGCCAAGTAGGCCGTTGAAGCTTTACTTGTCGGCAGCTAACAATACCATTGAAAGCATGTTGGCACAGGAGAATGACAATGGAAAAGAGCAAGCAATATATTATCTCAGCCGGATGTTAAATGATGCAGAAAAAAGATATACTCCGGTGGAGAAGTTATGCTTGTCATTGTACTTTGCTTGTACAAAATTACGTCATTACATGTTGCCGACAACAGTTCAGGTAATTTGTAAGACAGATATTATCAAATATATGTTAACTCGTCCGATTATCAGAGGAAGAATTGCCAAGTGGGCCTTCATTTTGTCTGAAATACATTTGATATACGTGCCGCTTAAAGCAGTTAAAGGTCAGGCGGTTGCTGACTTTATTACAGAATATCCATGTGTACATCTGGAAGAGGAGAATGTCGAGGGATCGATACAGGTGGTACCATGGACATTGTATTTTGATGGGTCAAGTACGACAACAACATCTGGTATTGGGGTCATGATCGTATCCCCTCAGGGACATCGAACAAAACTTATGTGTCGACTTGATTTTGATTGTTCCAATAATCAAGCAGAATATGAAGCGTTAATTGTTGGCCTTAATATATTGGCTGACATGAACGTTAAGTTTGTAAGAATAAAAGGGGATTCCCAATTAGTGATCATTCAGTTATCGGGAAATTATCAATGCTTCAATGAGAATATTGTTCGATACTTCGATATGGCGAAAGTTTTATTGAACGAGTTCTTTGATTACGAACTGGAGCATATAAAAAGAAATGATAATGCGGAAGCCAATGAGTTAGCTCAAATGGCATCTGGGTATAAAATATCAAAAGAATTAACAAAAATTATTGTTACACAAACAAAAACTTTGCCATCGATAGATAATCAAATTATGATGATACAGTCCAATAGGGAGCATATCGATGTCGATGAAGAAGATTGGAGGAGACCTATCATTTAATATCTAGAGAACCCAGTTTCTAATGATAAATCCTTTAAAAAGCAAGTGTTGAAGTACCTGCTGTTGGATGGAGAATTATATCGGAAAACAATCGATGATGTTCTGCTTAGATGTTTAAGTAAAAAAGAGTCATCTATAGCAATGGCAGAAGTACATGAAGGAATATGTGGTGCGCATCAAGCAGGTATAAAAATGAAATGGTTATTAAGACGCCATGGTTTCTTTTGACCAACAATGACTCAAGATTGTATTGATTATGCTAAAGGGTGTGAGACATGCCAAAAACATGGACCACTACAACATGTCTCTGCAGCAATTATGCTACCCATTATCAAACCGTGGCCATTTCGAGGATGGGCAATGGACATAATTGGAAAAATATATCCTCCATCATCTAGAAAACATAGTTTCATATTGGTTGCTACGGATTTTTCATCAAATGGGTCGAAGCCGCCTCGTATAAGAACATAACTCAGAAAGTAGTAAAAGAGTTTATAGAGAAAAGAATTATTCATCGATATGGAATACCGGAGACAATAACGGCAGATCAGAGTAATATATTTACTGGTCAGGAAGTGTTAGGGTTTACTAGATCTAGGGGGATCAAGATGCTTCATTCAACTCCTTACTACGCTCAGGTGAATGGGCAAGCGGAGGCATCAAATAAGGTTATTATTAACCTTATTAAAAGGCATTTGGAAGAAAACCCTAGAGAATGGGATTCACTCTTGTCGACGGTATTATGGGCCTATAGAACATCGAAGAGATCAAGTACGGGAGTCAGTCCATACATGTTAACTTATGGTCAGGAAGCTATGCTACCTGTAGAAATTACAGTACAATCATTAAGAGTAAAATTACAAGGGGGCATGTCCAAGGAAGAGTATGACGAGTTGATGTATGGAAACATCGATGAATTGGGAGAAAGTAGAGTTATAGCTTTGGAGAAATTAATTGCTCAGAAGAATAGAGTTGCTAAAGCATATAACAAACATGTAAAGGAAAAACGCTTCGATATTGGTGATTTAGTTTGGAAAACTGTTTTGCCAGTAGGTTTGAAAAATGAAAAGTTTGGAAAGTGGTCACCAAATTGGGAGGGCCCATATTTAGTTACACAAGTTTTAAATGGAAATGCTTATCATTTGATGGATATTGATGGGTTTGGAGAAATGCCTAGATCAATCAATGGAAAATATTTAAAGAAATATTATCCTACTAAGTAGGACATGAAGGAACATCAAGGAACTAATAATCATTCAACATAAGAGTCCAAAGAGTCCATGAAACAAGCCGGCAAACAGAATGGTTGAAGGGGACGAGCTAGCTAAACTGGGAGGTCGGATCTACAAAAACAGTTTAGGCATCATTACATGATCAGTTTACACCAATATGACACCTAAACTTGTTTACAAAGCTACACAGACGACTCTCCAGATGACGATTTTCTTCTTCAGCATGGAAGCAGGTAGAAGAGCTGGTGTTCCTGGCCGAATAAGCCTGGTTACACTCTGTTTCTAGTTCTGTGAGCTTGGCAAAGCATGCGTTAGGCTGCTCGTCCAAGTAATCCACCAACGACCTGCAGGAGTTGATGTCCTCGTCTATCTAGGCTAGCAGTTCAATCAGTCCCTTCTTCTCTGTCTCTTCCGCTGCTCTCTCTTCGAATGTCAGTTTGCCTCGGAGACGACGGGTGGTGATGTCCAGTAGATCGGCTTTCGCTTCTCTTGTTCAGGTCAAACTACTTAGTCCTGCATGAGCGGGTTCCAGAACTTTGAGCCGGTCAAAGTATACTTTCTCAGCTTGGGTGACAAGGTTAACCTTGTTGAAATAGTCACCCTCAGCGATTGCATGCTGTTCGATTATCGTTCTGTTGTCAGAAAAGGCTCGAAGACCATAGGGAAAAATACTGCAAAATTCATTAAAGTCAAATCTAAAAGGATGGTCAGGTGGAAGGAACTTAGGTTCAGCTTCTTTGAAGAAAGTAAAGATTTCATCCACAGCCCGGGATTCGATAGACAAATAGGCGTAGGTAAAGGACAAGCGACATAAGATGTCATTCCACAAGGAGATAAACTCCTCGGTGAAAAGCGAAGCATGTGAAGATGAGGAAGAGGAAGATTTGGCCATGGTAAAGCTAGTCTGGAATATGGAATGATCGGATGAAGGTGGTAGGTTAGTAAGACTACAAAGCAGTGGTTTAAATAGAGAGCCAAAGCAGATAGGCACGATAAGAAGTCTGAAGGACTTGAGCGACGTGAGTAATGAATGTAACTGACAGGTGCTTTGAACTAATTGGAGAGCAAGAGCACGTCGCGACGAATTATTAATGCTGGTAGAAATGGAACGACAAGATAGGGTCATATAGGGGATCGTGTCCGCCGGCAATTTTTGCAAGAAAAGGTGGGTATAATGAATCAAGACCCAGTAACACTAAAGGGTTGTGTGGAAATCAAGCAAAGTGGAAATAGATGTAACTGACAGGTTCTTCGAACGAAAGTAAAGATATGTCAGGATATTATTGCTATCGAAGAGAATAAAATGGCATAGTGAGAGTACAGGAAAACGTGTGCAGCGAACACATCCGTAGCTTCTACGAGGAAAGGGTAGGAGCAGCTTATCAGAATTAATGGATATTTAAGATCCATATCTGCCAAGTACAGGAATATGAAGGGTTGCAATTATATGCTTCATCTGCCAGGAAGATGGATCATTATGACCAGCTATAAATTTGAGCATGTTTGACGTTTGAAATTGATATAATGCCGGTTGGATAAAGGATACTGGAAAAGAAGTAAAGCTCATTGATCAAGCATGTTTAGTGAAAAGGAAAGTGCATATATTCAAGGGTTAAGAATACACTTGGACGTGAATAAAACAGAGATCCTAATATATACATTAAGTATTTACAAGGCAAACTGGACCTATGGCTACATGAAATGCTGTTCAATTCCTAGACAGAAGTTCTGTAAACGTATTTCTAGATCACAATTGGCTTCGAAAAATTGATCTTTTTCAGGAATGTTCTCTTGAAGTTCGTCTTCCATAGTTTTGCATTCAATCTCCAATTGTTCAACCTGTTTAAGTTGATCAGCTAGGCGCTGCAGTGGAATATCATCAACTGCTTGATAATGTGCAAGGACAGCACGTGCTTGTTCCAGATCCTCTTGCCTGTTCAGATATGATTTTTCCATCTGGTCGAAGGTATCGATACGATCCTGTCGAAACTTATAAGATGCCAAAGCTGAGTTAAAAGATTGAGCCAACTCTTCAACAGCGTATTCCATAGCTAAACAATCCAAAGGACAAAGTAAATTGGATAACTCGGTCAGAAGAGATTTAATTTCTGTTTCCATGAGAACATTATTAAAAATATGAGATAAACCAGGTGATAGTAAATCGAGAAATCGAATCCATTTGGGTCAGAATTCGTCATTTCCCCAAGATAGGGACGGTTTACCAAAAGGTCGCTTCGATGAACATGGAGTGTCATCAGGAACTGGGATATAAGTTGGAGAATGGACTTCGACAGGTGTGCCAATGTAAGTCTCAACTTCCCGTTTGTAAGACGTAACACTCATGTCTGCAAGACAGGAAACAATAGAAGATGAAGTTTAAAGTAAATAAGAGATTAACTTTATGTGGGTTGGAAACTAAAGGTGATACCTTTATCGGATGAATATTCTGATTCTGAGGAAAGATCATCGTAGTTAGATGATAAGTCACAAGGCCTTTCAAATGGGTGGTTTAATCCAGGGAGACAGTGAGTAACTTTGGACATCACTATATCGACGTGTGAAGAAAAAACATATGATCGATATTCCACCCACCATTCATCGAAGGCATCGGTACTATGCGGATCTCCGGCAAAATGTATGTAGTCAAATCTTCCAAGAATGGTACGAGTAATTTCATTACAGCAAGAAATACTTCCTTCATTGATGAAACAATGACTACTAGTACGAGAGAAATGATATTCCATGGAGTAAACAATAGGAGCTGGAATACCTTGGGTAAGACCGAATTGACGAGAACAGTAGTGCGGATTGTATACCTCGAACCCTGGAAAAAATTGGCCTTTGATTGAGAAGTCCACAATTAGATCGCAAGGGGTGAGAATGCTTTTCCAGAAGATACAGGCATCGGATTGATCATAAGAAGGGCTAGTCTCAAGAACATCAACGCAAATTCTATAGAAGATAAAGTTTCTCGATGAAAGCAAATATTGAAGGAAACCCTCGAAGAGGGAAGTTCCTATTAAGGGGTAATAAAGAGGACGACAAAGTCTCCAAAGACCAAATTCCTTTTCGATAGGAGGAAGATCAGCCTCAGACCAGTAAACAGGGGGTATTCCTACATCAAAGAAGAGATCAGGAAAATACATACGACACCATCCGTGCACCATCCATAGAGGCCCAAAGAAAGGATCAGGATGCGCATTAGAGAAAGAGGTCTGAACATCTGTAAGAGATCGATAAAGAACAGCAAGAGCAATTCGATCGAGACCAACATCAAGACCATGAGAAAGCATGTGAGCAATGTCGAGGAACTCAGAAGAAACTGATAAAGTTGGTGTGCAAAAAATGTACCGTGAAAGCCAACATAGAAGGAATGCAACATGTTCATCAGAATGAATTTCCCCCTCAGACTTAGCAAATTGGTCCATAAATTCATCATAAGAAAGATTAAGAGACGTAGAGTTTTGAGAAGGCAGACATTCAAGGACCTCTTGACCTCGGAATTCAACAAAAGACGAAAGGCCCGTTAAGGCCTAAATATCCAAAAGAGTGATGGTTACTGGACCACAAGGAAGGAAAAAATAATGCGAAGAAGGTGACCAAAAGGTACAGAGACTGCCAATAAAACCATACTTCATTGGATTGATAGACATGCAACAAAACATCAGAGCTGTGTCAATTCGAGCTGATTGCCATTTGGACTTCATCGCACCACGCAGGCGTTTATACCATTGAAAAAACCTCCTATCAAAACCAGGATAAGAATTGAACCTATAATTGGAGGTCAGCCAAGCATGAGCATGAATGCGACTATTGTTAGTGGGAAGAATTTCTTGATAATGGCAAGGAAAACATTCAGTGAACATAGGAGGGGCTGGAATAGATTTGAGATAAGGACCCAGTATAATGTGATCGTTGTTAGTGTGATGATCCATAAATGACAAAGAGATACGACCTTTTGTTTCGTACACTTGAAGATCATCAAGACGATTCAAGAACATAGAAGGTGAGGCATGAGAAAAGAAAGGAAAGTTGGATGCCATATTTGAGACGGATGAAGTAAAAATGAAGGTCGAAGGGTATAAATAGACCCAACGTGGTAATCAACTTCACCCACGATCGGGAATGTGGAGAAATTTGAATGAAAATGTTCCCGCTGAAAATAAGTTATTGAAAAGGAATATTAAGATAAATTCAAAAAGAAATGGAGGTCACTTTATTGATTAGAAGTTCTCTTGGGGAACAACAATTTCTTTACATCACTTTGGAGGGACAACATACTACGGTCAAATTGACCATTCTCGGTTATATACTTGTTTTTGGTACGTCGATTTTCAGCTTCTAGTGCCAGTCGACGTCGATGCTCAGTCTGCTTGAGGTCTTTGAGAGTGGTAATATCTTTGTCAAAGTCCATCTCCAGCTCAAGCCTCTGTGTGTGCTTGAGTTTTTGCGTATCTCGAAGAAAGGCCAGTTTCTATTCAATTTCTGCTTTCTGCTTCTCAAGATGACGTTCCTCCTCATCAAGTCCAGATATCTTTTCAACCAGGGTATGAAGGTTAGTCTGCTTTTCCTTTACAGTATGACTGAGCTCGTTTATGGTTTGATTATTCTCGGCAAGAGGTTGATCAGAAAGAGTTAAAGACATAATTAGGTCATAATTACGTCGATAAGACTCTATCCTGCTGACAAAAGCCTTTGAAAAATCATCGAGTTTGACCTTCAGCTCAGGGGGCAGTATTTCACTAGGTGCAGCACTACACAGCTCATCGAGTAGAAATTTCAGTCGATCAAAAGCTGTCTGATTGCACAGAAGCATAGGAAAACCGCCACGAGAAAGATCTAAAAGTCGTAATAGCTTATCTCTGACCTTTTCAATGCCCATTTGCCCTGAGGAAGATGCGTCCGAAGTAAAACCCAATATGTGAGAAGCCTCATTTAGCATGCGCTTAGTCTTCAAAAGAGATTCTGGGGAATTTATTTCTTCGGCAAAAGGAATTGAATGGCTCGAGGAAGGCTGTGTCAAAGGAGCAGCAGCATTCTGTATTGGGACAAGAGCAGTGGCCAGGGCCAAAGTTGAACTAGAAGGGTCGGCTTCAGTAGAATGGACAGGGGAACCAGAGGTGATGTGACTATCAATGGGTGCAGTACTGGCAGTTGTTTCAAGTTCTGAAGTTGCTTGAATTGGTGGTACCGAATCATTTAGAGATCCTGAAAATAGAAAGAAATCAGTCGTTGAGACACGATATGAATTGTGACATATTATTATTACGCAAATACCTTGTTCTGGCGCTGTAAGGAGTAATATGGGCTGGTCAACAGTAGCGACTTCAAGAGCCGGATCAACAGAGAGTCCTGCTATATATATAGAGATTGTCAGTAATGAATTACCAAAAGATTCATCACTTTGCATTAAATAGAAAGAACAAGTAAAGAAGGGCACAACAAAGATATACCATTTGAATTGTCTCCAGAATGGGTGAGATTGACCTGAGAATCCGAAGCTTCTACAGGATTGATAGTGGCCATAGAAGAGGAAGCCGATGTAGATGAGGGGATAAGACGTTTTCTTTTGATCAATGCAGCAATCGGTTCTTCGTCTGCGTTCTCAATAGATTGACTAGATGATGGGGACCCTAGAAGAATAAACATTAGGGTTAAAAAATGATGTGGGAACCATATGAAACAGAAAAGACTGCAACAAAAGAATACCTTGCATCGAATCAGATTTCCTCTTGAGAAGAGGTGTGTTATCATCAACTTGGGGTTGATCCATTGCGGTGGCGCAATACAATCGGGTCCGAATAGGAGCACTTCTTGGGGGAACCACTTTCTTAGAAGGATTTGTCGACTTGGCCTTAGGAGTTTTGATTTATGCCCCCTGAGTTATCCGCAATGGTTCTGATTCAGGATTTGGAGCATCCCGTTCTATGGAAATGCCCTTTTTACCCTTCTTACCTTTGCTTCTTGGCTTAAATACGCCTCCTGCTATTCGACTCAGCATGTTTTGAGTAGCCTCCTCATAAGGGCTTTCCAGACAGAAAGAAAGCCACCAAGAAGTCCATGCAAGAGTACATCCAGGCTTAGGCTCGAAGTCATTAACATCAGGGGCAAATTTGGCATATATAAGCCGAGTGATTTCGGCACAGCATGCGAAGGGGGCATCATTCTTGAAAGGATATTTTTGTTTCACCATGCTTGGGAATTCAAGAGAATAAGGAATTGGCATGGGAATGGCTTGAACTAAACCAAACTGCCTGGCGCAGTATTGAGGAGAATAAATCTCAAAGCCATAGTAAAATTTGCCTTTCTGGGATAGCCTTAAAGGAAGGTCTACAGGAGTAAGGATGCGTAGCCAAAAGTCAATTGAATTGAGGCGAGCTATCGAATCAAATAAGTAATTGAATTCATTTGCATCATAAGCAAAAAATTCAATTTCATTAGAGTGAACTGTCAGGAGTTTATGAAGGTAAAAAGCAAAAGGAGAAAGATTCTCTGAAATACTTAATGAGGAATAACTGAGTAAACGACACCCAAAGGGAGGAGGTGTTGGTAGCTGGAATTCTAGAGAGAAATGATGACGAAAAGTGCAAGGAGTGTGAAAGAAAAGGAAAATAATGCACCATCCAGCATTGAAGAATTCAGAATGACCAAAATAAGGTATCTTCTTCTTTAGATGTCATCGATGAAGATGCATGAGTTATTCCTCGATACAAAGTGCCTAGCATTAATGGTGCCAAAGCAAGTGTTTTACCGGCAGCAAGATTGGCTGCGAGTGGTAAGAAATCTTTGGAAATTTTCAGTGTGGGGGCAAGGAAACATATTTAGACAGCCAAAAGAGAAGGAAACAGGTACGCTCATCAGGAGTTATTGGCTCAGTACTAAGAAAATATGTTTCCAAAAATCTACCATAAGCAAGATGTTCATCAGGAATAAAGGGTACTGGTATCGAAGCTATGTCACTTATGTGGGTCCCAATCAGAGGAAAATTAGTAATGGCATATATGTCCAACAGAGTAACAGACATAGGGCCCCAGGGAAAAAAGAAACAATTGGTCGAAGGGGACCAGAAACTAATAGCAGCACCCAGAAGCCCTAGATCTAAATCATACGACAGCATGCTGACTTCTAGAGCGGTATCAATACCAGCTCTTATCCAAGCAAGGCGAGTAAGTATATCTCCCTTTAGTTTTACATACCAGCGGTGAAAACCCATCTCAAGAGAAGGAAACCCCCGAAATCGTGAGTTTTCTGGAAACCAGATGTCTGCAACCGACGACTTCCGAACAGGAAGCAGTTCCCCTGTCCTCTTTGGAAAACAGGGACGAAGAGAAACGAGAATCTGTTGATGATCATGAAAGCAAAGACCCAAAATGAGTTGGTTGGAAGATTCATCGACCAAGTGTAATAATCGAAGGTCACAGTTTGAGGATTCTTGATCATGACGTAGTTGATCAAATTTCTCAATGTATGATTTGGGAGAATATTTGCGGGCCATGAGCGCAAATTGAGTGAAAAATCTGAATGGAAACGAAGAGGAAAACCTAGAATCGAAGAAGAAGACGGAAGGTCAAAAGTTGCAATTTTTCGCCAAGATACGACGGTTCAAGTGATTCGCTATCATGAAGATCTGCTAGGTCATAAATGATTGAGGTGACGTGTCAGAGAAAAGCGAAGCGTTTCAGGAAGGATGAGCAAATACAAGTTACAAGGCATTGAGAGTAAGATTATTCAGGTCAAAAATTTGTTTTAAAAGAATTAAACAAAAGAATTAATTCTTTTAAAAGGGGGCATATGTTGACACTTGAAATTAATTAGAGATTTCGTCGTGAGAATATATGAATAAAACGACAAAAGATGACATCACCTGTACTAAAATGACAACTGGTAGGTACGTACAGTCATAAGCGGGAAATTTGAAATTCAGAGAGAGGGGGATCAAGAATGCTGAAGGTATTTTCATCGAAGTATTGACAAGGAGAAGAATGAATATCAAGCTATGAGAGATTCGATGAAGGCCTTTGCCCCAGAAAAGACAAGTGCTCAAAGTGTTTCTCATCGATGAAATCGATGAAAAGGGTGATGAATGTCAAATCAGAAAAGCTCGATGAAGGTCCTTATTTCTGTTAAACAGGTGTCAAACGGAGAAAAGCTATGAAAGATTCGATGAAAGCCTTTGCTCCAGAAAAGACAAATATCCAAGTGCTAAAGGTGCTTTTCATCGATGAAATCGATGAAAAGGATAATGGATGTCAAGTCAGAAAAGCTCGACGAAGGTCCTCGCTTCCGGTGGACAGGTGTCAGACGGAGGAAAGGCTCGACGACGGTTATCATCCCGAGAGACAGGTGTCAAACGGAGGAAAATTTGATGATGGTTATCGTCTTGAGAGACAGGTGTCGAACGGAGAAAAGGCTCGATGACGGTTATCATCCCGAGAGACAGGTGTCAAACGGAGGAAAGCCTCGACGACGGTTATCATCCCGAGAGACAGGTGTCAAACGCAGGAAAGTTTCGATGACGGTTATCATCCCGAGACACAAGTGTCAAACGTAGAAAAGGCTCGATAACGGTTATCATCCCGGGAGATAGGTGTCAAACGGAGAAGAGGCTCGATGACGGTTATCATCCCAAGAAACAGATGTCAGACGGAGAGAAAGCTCGATGACAGTTACCATTCTGAAAGACAGGTGTTAAACGGAGAAAAGTTCGATGACGGTTGTCGCTTTAGAGAACCAATGGGCTCGATGACGGTTGTCGTTTCAGAGACTAAATGGGCTCAAAAGCGATTATCACTTCATACAGAAGATAAGATCGATAACAGTTGATAAACAGGTGTCATTACATGAATGGTAAAGATGAAATCAACGGTAGAGATTGAATACAACACCAAGAACGGTTACCAAGTCTGTGCTATAAATAGCGTCTGATTACCAACAGTAGAACCCCCGGCACACATGAACAAAACAAATATTGTCTTTTATCTTTACTTCCAAGTTTCGCACTTTCAGTTTCCATAGTTGTAGTCTTTACTATCCAGTTTCGCACTTTCAGTTTCCTTAGCTGTAATTGCTCAGGTCTTTGTAAACTTTGGACGCCACCAGCAATTGGATGGATTCGTCTAGATTTTCTGTAAAAATCAAGTTCCTTATTCACGCCTGGATTACTCCTGTTCGGAATTAGATCTAGAACTCAGTCTCCTTTCATTAAGAACCGAAGAACGACTTTCGGTGAATTATATTTCGTTGTAAGGACATTTCCGACGAAACAAAAACTTTGAAAATTACAATTTAACATAGCAGACAAACTTCATGGGGATTAGGTTTTCCTATCCAAGTAACCATGTAGGCTGAACCATACCCAGAATTTCCCAAAGTCCATTTCATAACGTGTTATAAGTCTGCACGATTTAAAGATGGAATTATCAGCCTGGAGTGGACCAATCTCATGTTGCAGCAGCAGATCCATGCTTAATCACTGTGCTTGGTCGACGAGTTTCCATCTTCATCGCATGACTGTGTGTCCCAAAAGGACTCTCCCCCACCAAGATGCATCAAACTAGCATAACCAACAATGACATCTCTTACAATGAGGGGACTAGAGTTCTGACAGCGTCTTCTTGACTTTCTCCGCCGCCTTGTGGGCACTCGCATCCGCCATCTTCGCGGCGGATTTGGCCAAACCCTCCACCGCGGACTTCCCCTTCTCCAAGCTTTTGGCCACCGCCTCTCTCACCTTCTCCCCCACTTCCTTGGCCGCCCCACCTCCTTTCCCATCGTCCCCCGGTCCTCCCCTAAAACTTCAATCCACAGATACGTTCCGCATGAATTTAGAATCTAAGAAACCGAGTCGCAACAAGTTGCAGCGTAACTTACTCGAGGTTCGGGGGGGAAGAAGTAGGCGTGGGCTTGGCGAGCGAGGGTGGCAAGCTTTTCCCGGTTGAGTGACGACGCGCTGCTCATAATCCGATGAACCATCGACCGAGGTTTCTGCTCGGGATGACGACGATCATCCGCTACCAAGGGTTGCTCTGCCAATACAGACGAAAGCAAAACAAGCGAGCAGACGAAGATCAACGTTCCTCTCATGGCTTTATCCATGGTCGACCCCACGAGTTGATCATGCGGAGGAGCATTAAGAAGAAGAAGAAGAAGAAGAGCAAGAACAAGAAGGGTTATCTTGACAGTTGACACGTCCGCGTTCTGATGAAAAGCCATGCAGTGGATGGATGTTGTGGAGGACGTGGCTAGTGTCCACGTTCTCCCCACCCACACGTCCTTGCGGTGAGAACCTCTTATTTCCTGAAAAAACACAAAGATCGAAGCAAAGGAATATTTCATTAACCTAATACTATATGATTGACGGACATATAGCATAGATCGAGTCCACTACTTGCATTGTCTATTGGGGACCAATATATAGCATAGATCCAGTCCTAAAACCTTTGTCGTTCTATTTTTCTTTTTTAATAAGTCAAAAGAAACAGTAATGCACTGCAGATGACCCGAACCAAATAAGTTATTTGCAAGAAATTTATGAGAATTGTCCAGTTAACCTCCATTTAGTTTGACCCACTTAAAACCTTTGTCATTCTCTCTCCCCTTTGCTTGAAGATAAATAAATCAAAGAAAAAATAATCAAAATAATTGAAATGATAAAACCGATGTTCTCGATGAAAATTACTCGCATGAATAGAGAGAAAGAGATCCCATCGTCCTTGAGCCAACATTAGTTGTTGACCAATGTTGTCTCAATCACGGTTGGTGTCACCGCTGCAATTCTCATTACAAAATAAGATTAAACTACATTGAAATCCGTACAATATATTTAAAACTGAAATGGTAATTTTTTTTTCTTACACAGTAGAGAAGCTCAGTTTAAGAACTCAATGATATTCTAAAAACTCTCTCTTTTATCCCTTTTCTCTTTCTTTCACTTTTCATGATTGTTGGTAATCACTAGTTAGAACAATTTATCCACAAATGCAGTGAAGCAATGCGAGGCATGTCAAGATTTCTCACCCAAAGCTTGTTGATCGACTAAAATGACCGAGAAAAATTAATGAAGAGTTGAAAACAAGTTGAATTCACGTATATTGATGATGGCTTACTTACTTGTTATAATTAATTTTGATTTTGTTTGCACCTAGTAGAAGTCAAATTACAATACCCATGATTCCGTTCCATCCGGTGTCGGTTGCCATCAATTCCTTTGTCTTCTTACAACATTTATCGTCAGTTTATCAAGAAACACGGCAGATTATGCATTGGAAGAGAGAAGATACATAAAATCCAGAAACGTTACAAAGTCCCATTAAAGATGACAAGCGATGTCGATTGAATGGTGAAAGTAAAAGGTCTCTTTGAATTGAGTGTAACAGATGATGATATGACATAGGTATGAATGCGCGATCGAGAAGCGTGGGAACGCTGTGAATTCGAACATTGTAACGTAAGTTTTCCAAACGTAATGAGAAACAAACTCTGACAAAACACATTGATGCAGCCCTATTAAGTGATAAGAAGACTTACGCAATAAATGGGGTGCCTGGGTGGGCGACGGTCAACTCCTCCCTTTGGCGGGCATGCATTGCAGATTCCAGCTTCATATACTTAACCCCTCGTGTGATCCCGAAGTTGCGGAGGTAACATCATCCTGATCTGTTTTTATAAATAGCAAAAATCAATTAAGGCCAGAGCAAATTAACGAGATGGCTTGGTCTGAGCACCCTCATCAGTCATCCATGATGCTCAGGAGTCTTGCGTTGTCAACGGTTCTTTTGTTCGTCGTCGCCGGCAACAGCGACATTGGCGGCCATGGCCTCCATGGATGGGATATCAGTGCTCATGCCACATTCTACGGCGACATCCATGGCGATGAAACCATGAGTAAGCTACATTAACTACAGATTGCATTGACTCTATTAATCCCTCTCCCCCTCAACGTGACATATATATTTCGTGCTTGTTGGCTTTTTGCCCAAAGTGGGAGCTTGTGGGTATGGAGACCTGTTCAAGCAAGGGTATGGACTGAAGACGACGGCCCTGAGCACGGTCCTTTTCAACAACGGAGCGACTTGTGGAGCCTGCTACGACATAATGTGCATCCATTCCCCCTGGTGCTTGCCCAACCGGCCCGTCATCCGGGTCACCGCCACCAACTTTTGCCCGCCCAACTACAGCAAGCTGACCGAGGTCTGGTGCAACCCGCCCCAAAAGCACTTCGACCTCTCCATGCCCATGTTCCTCAAGATCGCTCGCTACCGCGCTGGGATCGTGCCCGTAGCGTTTCGCCGAGTGACATGTGAACGGAAGCAAGGAGGTACGCGTACATCATTCGGTTCGAGCTCGAGTTCGAATCTCGTCTTATATAGGTCCTCTTATCTAATGTCCTAAGTGACGTGAGCATGTGAACAGGGATGAGGTTCGAGTTGAAAGGGAACGAGTGGTGGCTGCTGGTGCTGGTGTACAACGTCGGGGGAGACGGGCAAGTGGTGGAGGTGAAGATCAAAGGGACGAGGACAGATTGGGTGGCGATGACCCGAAATTGGGGTCAGAATTGGCAAACCCGGGTCGGCCTCCGAGGCCAGGCCTTGTCCTTCCGGGTCACCACCAGCGACGGGAAGGCGGTCCAGTCCGACAACGTGGCGCCGCCCGATTGGCAGCTCGGCAAGACTTATGAGGGCAGAAATTTCCCATATTTACGGTCTATGCTTGAAGTTTGATTAATATTTGCCTTAGAGAAATAAATAATTCGTGATGATTTTTTTCTTTTTCAGAATAGAGAGGGAAGAAATTGGGATTACTTAAGATAAATTGAACTCTTTTCTGTGATAATCAAGACTGATTTTTGGGGACGATCCTCAACGTGCTTCCTCTCCCTGATTTTTTATATATATTTATTTGATACGTGATTTTTTTTGTTTCCACTTTTGAATAAGAATCTTATAACAGGCGCGCTCATGGAAGCTGATTAAACATTCATGAATAAAGATGACAACCAATTCTCGCGACTTTAAGTACGCATATCAAAAAAAGAAGAAGCCAGTGCAATTGAAAACAAAAACGACCAATTTGGTTAGGGAAATGGTGAGCCGACAGTGTCATAAGTAAATTCAAATGGAACAGTGGCTCCTCCACCTTTAATTCTCCACGTTTAATGATATGAGTAGATCTGTTTCTTAAAATAAGAACTTAATGCTCTCTCAGCGGTACCGTTAAGCTAGCAATGCCCATTTGGTTAAGCTAGCAACCAGGGCCGGCTCGTCTGTGATCGAACCGATTGGTTTCGGACGCCCGGGTGAAAAAAAATTGGAGAAACCAGCTTTGGTCAGGGTTCTGATTTCATGACCCGAACCGTCGTTCTGGGAGAACCGACCGGGTTCCGGGTTTATGAACCGGTCCGGAACCAGACAAAAACCCCACGTGCAGCGGCACGGCACGACGCTGCAATTGTCGGTGCAGCGCTTTAGCAGCACGCTGCAGCCATTGCAGCACATCTTCCTTCTTCTTCTTCTTCTTCTTCCTCTTCTTCTTCTTCTTCATCATCATCTGCGGGTGCGAATGCGAATGCGAATGCGATTGCGATTGCGATTGCTGGTCTTTCGAGCTCTACTAGATCCATAATAGATTGTGGCGGTAGATTTCCAATCCGCGCCGCAGCGCATCGTCACGTGCTCAGATCTACAGCGCAATCGGAAGATGGGGAGGCCGGTGGGGAAGCATAAATCTGCCAAATTGGTGTTCGGATGCGTCCTCCTCTTAGGGTTTGGCCTCGTGTACGACTACTTCTGGGCCGCTTCTCCGCGCTTCACTTCTTCTCCTTCTTCTTCACTTTCCTCCAATTGGGCCACCCACGAGGCCCCTTCCAAGATAACCCTGCCCAGTGATGCCGATCGTGGCTCCCTCAAGGTACCGTTCTTGCTTAGTGCGTCCCTGTTTCGAGTAGTCGCGGGTCCTCCGATTTGATTTGGCTTCGCAAATGCCGAGAGAGACTGCTGAGGCCGAGAGGGATTGCGTTGTTTATAGGGACGAACTGCGGAGACGGACGATGCTCCTGGGAGAGTCTTGTCTGCAACTTTTGCGGATCTACCCGGGCCGGAGCTGAAATGGGAGAAGATGGCTCCTGCGCCGGTGCCTCGGTTAGATGGGGCGGCAATTCAGATAAAGAGTCTTCTTTATGTGTTCGCCGGATACGGCACTATTGATTATGTAAGAACACCACTAACCTCCTTGATTTGGCATGTGTGGTCTGGACTAGGAAGCAAGCTATCAACTTAAAATGTCTCTTATCATTCTCGTGCTATGTTAACTTGGCCGCTTTGCTGCTTCTCCTTGGGAACTTTTCGATGCTTGTTGGTTTGTTACTCTAGGGATGCATTGCGGCGAACTTTGCGTCCGATGCAGTTAGAAGTTCTGTTATTTGTGTTCACGTTGGACATAGAACTCTGCCAAACGAAAAGCAAGAAATTTTTCCTTTTTGTCTTGGGTACATAATGAAGGGCTCAGTCATCTAAATCCCAAATATATTGCCATGGAATCTTGATTAAAGATTGGTTTAATTCCCAGAAATGCTGTTTAGGCCAGCCTCCTTGCTTGTGTTGTCTAGCGTCATGAATGGGCTATGGAAAATAACATGCAAACATGCCAGGAGTATGTAGTACGAAAGTACTTGGATTACTTCACTAATTTGTGAGCCATGTAAGTTGATTTCTGAGGCAAATGAGCTATGTTTGGAATTAGACAGTTGAGACTTGACTTTATGTGTGATCACCTTGAGTTGGTTATCTTGTTTCCCCTGTTAAATTCCTCATGAGCTATTGCGTGTCGTATTCTTATAATGCTAATCCTGAGTGCTCTCGTAGTATCGTGTATTCTTTCAGCTATGTTGCCTTTTCATTTAGGAGACATATCTAACCACAGATGTAAAGTTGGTGTGTTTTGCATTGTATGGTACAGTATCTGAGCCTGGAGGTTCTGACACTTCCTCTCTTGCTTTATTTTGGTTGGCCGAACAGGTGCATTCTCATGTTGACATATACAACTTTTCAGATAATACTTGGGGAGGAAGATTTGACATGCCAAAAGAAATGGCTCATTCACACTTGGGAATGGTTACGGATGGGAGATATATATACGTGGTCACAGGACAATATGGTCCACAGTGTCGTGGACCTACAGCGCATAATTTCGTGTTAGATACTGAGACCAAGCAGTGGCATGACTTGCCCCCTTTACCGATTCCTAGGTACACTATCTGTTCTCTGAATCTTAAGTTTTAGGCCTTCCAGAGAAACTTCTTATCGTCGTACTCTTTTTTTTTTGGGGGTAATTTTCTGGAAGAGTACTTTAATGATCTTTATGAGCATGATGTGCTTTTATGAATTATACTGAACATTTGAGATCCTATACTGTTTGTCTATTTTTTACCCCCAACTTATTTTTTATTGCAATTATCAATTTTTTCTTCGTAAATGGTTCCAATTGGATCTTACTCCCGTTGAAATCAGTGCAAATTGTTCTTGCCCCTCCTTTTGAGGACCTTTTTTAAATTTGTAAATTTTAGGTATGCACCCGCTACCCAACTTTGGAAAGGCAGACTTCATGTGATGGGAGGCAGCAAAGAGAATAGGCATACGCCTGCAGTTGAGCACTGGAGTCTTGCTGTGAAGGATGGAAAAGCATTGGAGAAGGAATGGAGGAATGAAATACCAATTCCCCGTGGAGGACCTCATAGGTTGATTTCCCTCTTTTATGGAGATATCCTCTCCTAATTTATTTCAGTGCATGGCTATCCATTGCTATAGTTGTTTATGCTGCTCTTATGGGTGGTCATTTTATATATCTTGAGTAACAATCTTGTAAAACAAAGAGCCCTTGATCAATGTAGGCCTAGAATCACTCTCATAAATGCGGAGATCTACTTAATGTTGATCCCTTAATCTTTGACAAATTTATGGATTCAGGGTAATAACATTGATGACTTGGAACCAAGAAACTGAAAATTACTTGGGGGACCTTTATCCCATGCAAATTGTTAGAGGCATTTCCGTTTTTTAAATATCCATTGGATTTTCACATAAGCATTCTTGGATTTTCACATAAGTATCATCACCTTTCCGAAATGTCAAAAGACATTTACTTATTGCTATGCTGTTTCACCTTAAAATTATTTTCATGCAGGGCCTGCATTGTGGTTGATGACCGATTGATGGTTTTAGGCGGTCAAGAAGGTGATTTCATGGCGAAACCTGGATCGCCTATTTTCAAATGCTCCCGTAGAAATGAGGTAGCTTGACTAGCATCCCTCTCGAAATTTCTTTAAATGATGGGAGAACTTCTGTTGTTGACCTGGTCGACGTCATTGGATACTTGTTATATAGCTTAATATCTATTTGTGGTTTTCTCAGTTCATCTGCTCATGTATCTTATTTAACATACTTTTTTTGTTCTTTGTGCTCCGAGGGGACAGCCTAGCTATAGCATCTATCTATTTGATAAATTTAGCTTTTGCTTCACCAAGGGCAATGCTTTGTTCACCCTGTCAGGTTGTTTACGGCGATGTTTACATGCTAGACGATGAGAAGAAGTGGAAAGTATTACCTTCGATGCTAAAGCCAAACTCCCACATCGAGTTTGCTTGGGCTCATGTTAATAATTCTATTATCATTGCTGGAGGCACAACGGACAAGCATCCAGTGACAAAAAGGATGGTGCTTAATGGGGAACTGGTCCGGTTCAATTTAGATTCACCGGTATTAACTCCTTCCTTCATAATACTTGGAAAGAAGACATGCCCATAATTATGTCTACACTTGCCTAGGAACGTAGATGGGTAGATAAAATATTTAACAATGTGTGTCATTGTATCCACTGTTACAACACTGATCACGGTTAGAAGCTCTGCCTAATTAATCATTTTTATGGTCAACATTGCGTGTATGGTTCTTTGCCTATTCTCCTCGTATGCCATTGGTCCATTGTTTATCAGGTCACTTCAACACTTTTCAAGTTATTCTGCTCTGCACATTCATGCTATTTCCTGAATCTCGGAGCCATTTGATTCTCTGTCCCTTATCATGCACTGGAAGTATAGTTCTTGCATTGGTTACAATTCTGAATGATTAAATTGTCAAGTTCAAAGCATAAACATGTTTTACAAGGTTTCTCCTTTGACATCCTGTGAAGCTTGGTTTTTTGTCAAATCTGAAGCATAAACACGTTTTGCAAAAGTTCTCTTTTGACATCCTGTGAAGCTTGGTTTTGGGTTCTTTACAAGATGATTCTACCTTTTCAGGTCAAAGATCTTCATTCTCATTCTTCTTTCGGGTTCTTTTATGTCCTTTTTTTTCTGGTCATGTCACTGTCTTTTACTGAAGTACATGAGTATATGCAGCAACAATGCGATCGCATGGTTTGTCATCACTAGCTTCTGTACCTGTCTTCTGGTTCCCCATCCTACTCATCAAAGAACTAATCTATGCTTTCTCCTAGGTCAATACAACAAATAAACTGGGTTTTGAATCTTTTGATTGCTCTACCTAATGGACAGACCCTTGATACTTTCATATCATTCAGAAGAGCTCGTTTTATTCAGTACACTTCGCTAATTGTACTTTTTGCCTTTTACTGATGTCAAATCCGAAATGATGCAGAAATGGTCTGTGATTGGTAAACTTCCCTTTCGTGTGAAGACTACGCTTGTTGGGTTTTGGGATGGGTGGTTTTACTTCACATCTGGACAGCGAGACAAAGGACCAGCCGACCCTGCGCCAAAGAAGGTCATCGGAGAGATGTGGAGAACCAAATTAAGATTGTAACGGTTTTTTTCCAACCGATTCTTTCATTGGGTTTATGGGATGCAATTTTTTGGTTATGATGTGTTGTGCCTAGTTCAGTGGGAACAAGGGGCGGGAATGGTGTCTCCCCTAACCATGTATAGAAATGCAGGCTTTATGTGACAAATACTACAACTATCGAAGTTCTATAGTGTTATATCTCCATTGATTCTTGAGGAACTACTCTTGTATGGACTACTTTGTGGGGGAATTGTCCATTTGTGTCTCCTTCCTATTGTCCTTATAACAAATACCAAGACCTCTAAAAAACATGGCCACAGAGAGAGTTCAGGTTCACCAATATACGCCAAATGCAATTCAATGCTCCCCCTATGATCACCAACGTCCCAGGACCTATGGTCAGGAAAAAGCCATTTAAGGACGGATCTTTCCATGCTCCATGGTATTGAATGGAAAACGACCTCATCAATGGAAGTAGATTCGTGTCTAATTCCTTTAATTAGATGCATGGATATCATTTAATCATAGAGTCGGCGGTACATACAGGACCAGGTAACGACTAAGACAAATGATAAACCGCACCTATCTACTGGACTTCAGAGCTGAAGCATTAGTTCAGCCAGGAAGAGCTCCCCATCAAACCTGAGGCCGGGTGATTCCGCGGGCTGAATCAAGCCATCCACCATCCCCCCATATATATACAGGTATCTTCCAGAATGATCAGCACAAGCTCGATGGAATGATCTACCATTGGGTTTGTAACCTTTGGAGTTCAATCTTTTCCACGAGTTCGCTTGAATTGGCTGGAATCTGACGGAAGATGCAATTGCTTTAATGTCCAACACCCAAAAGTCATTTTTCCGGTGTCTGTATGAATCCTCGCCCCCATGAATTAGCAGGCGACCTCCTAAGACAAGGTTAGCCGAGTGGCCAACTCTTGGAAGGCAAACGCCTTCAGGTATATCACTTAACTCGTAGAACAATTGCACCCACGTCCCATTGCCCTCGGACAAATCCAAAAGCCACACGTCGTTAAGCACCTCGTAGCCCAATCCTCTCCCTCCAAACAACACTGTTCGGCTTCCCCCGATGCAAGTCAGTGAATGACCCGAACAAGCAGGAGGTGATGGGTGAGTCACAACCTCATGCCATCTTCCTAAACAGAAGTTTTCAGACAGTTCCAATACCCATGTGTCTCCTAATCGAAGGCCATACAACTCTATTCCTCCGTGGACAACCATCTTCCGGTCATCGATGCAACATGCAGCGTGTGCTCCGCGGGCAGGCGGTACGACTGAACCCACATCAAGTAGCCTCCACAATAACGTGATGCCCAGAGTCTCGTGTAATGCGACTTTCCCTACCCACGTATCATTTTGGCGGTTCCCAAGGTCATTGATTCCTCCAAACAGAACAAGGAAATCACCTATCACCACACACGTATGCCCAAATCTTCCACTTGGGGAGCCTGAATTCACCCTCTGCCATTTCAACCTCCTCCTAAAATCTTTTCCAATATATGCCACCCAAGTGTCATCAAGATGACGTCCTAATGTGATAGAAAAGGAAAAAGGATATTAGATAAAGAGATCAATATTCAACAGTGAAAACATGCATTTGCTGATCTACTTTAGAGGTTCTTGGCACACTATTCCACTATGGCCGCAAAAGTTTTACTCTGTTATTGTATGCAACTGATCCACTTTCCTAAGCCAGCCATGACAGATGCCCAGCTCCAAGAACCCTTTGATATATGAATTTACTCTCCCTATTAGGAAGTAAACTATAACGAGACCATTTTTCAGTTTTTCAAAATAGTCGTTGGGGAAAAATCTATATCATACAACTCTTACAGAGCTTGATGCATTAGCACATCTATGAAGATCATATTGATAATAAAGCTATAAACTTTGTATGTAACTCCTCTGCTGAACAAAAGATCTTTAAAAAAGAAAGGTTAGAAAAAGCTAGGATAATTGATCACACCAGCAATCAGACCACAGACTAGAGATCGAAGCAATAATGTAAAGAGCTACATGGGTGAGGCGATCCGAAGATACAAGCCAAATAATACCAGATTAATGATTAACGTCCACATAAGACAAGCTAGTCTAACAGAAAGAACTTAGCTTATCCCCCATCATCTCACTGGCCGACCTTGCATTGAAAACATATCACTAAAAGCACATTTACCAAGGAAAAGAGAATCAAATCTGAGCAAAAATTTACTAGGTAAAGGATTTCTGTAATACAAATGCTTGTATGGCAAAACCATCAAAATTGAATACAGGGAAGACAGTAATCAGCTGTTAGATTGATGTAAACAATTCCGCATCTTATATCATTCCATGGGGAGGTCGGTCAGCAAGGATTTCTCGTGATTCAGCAAATCTGAGTGTTCATTTACTTAAAGGGCCAGATAAGAAAACCAAAAGCTATCCTCCCCTCCCCACTAACTATCCAAAGGATGGAAAGGACAGAGGCTAGGCTTTCGGTGCCTCCTCCAATCATGATTAATGAATTCGGGACTGATGGTCACCAATGAATATCGATTCCACATTCTCTCTCTGGCTATCTTCATTGTTATCACAATGGTTCGACCCACTGCAACAATGCGTTGGGAGTAAGAAAAGTTACCATCATGATACTAACAGAATCTCTTCTCGGAAAAACAAAGTACCGGTCTATTTTATTTGGGAGACAAACAAGTCCGCAAGAGCTATTCTGATGCTCTAGCCCTTCCATTGGTAGCTTGATCTCGGTAGAAAGCTAAGGAATACTCGTGATGGTCAATAGCAAGCTAAGGAAAATTCATGATGGTCATGGTCAATAGCAAGCAACAAGGACTCCCTATATTAAACCAATGACTAAGCTAGTTCACTTCAAATGCTTCTCAGACAGGAAATTTTACACTTCACATCCCTGGCTTTATATTGTTTTGATGGTGAAATGATCATAATCAGTTTACAATTATCGGTAGCAATTGGAGTATAAAAAGGCATCTTTGAGGCGACGACATATACATGCCTTGTCAGTCATATACATGAAATATGTAAGCCTGCACTTGAGCACCGATTAAGGAAACTTAAAGAATTTACTTTGGGTTGTATCATGAGCCTGGAGGACCATCAATCAGTGGCATGTTTAAGCAGTCACAACAGCTCCATTCGTACAGGGAGCTCCGAATTGGAAAAAAGAATGAATCGAATATAAATCACGGGACAAGAAAACAAAATCCAAACTCTACAAATCTTTCTAGGCAGACCGTGGTAGTGTATTTCTGCTGAAGACAACAGAAACCCAAAGAACTGAACTACTTGGGAAGTATGGATATACCCACTGAAAACCCAACATCTTACAAAAATTCCACCCCAGGATTGACAGTGATCCTCGTCATATTCAGGAAATAGAAAGCACAGTTTAATGAAACCTTAAGTTTCGAGAGCAATAAGAGACTTACCTCCCTCACAGCCACCGCCAAACAAAACCAAGCAATCAGACACAAAGTTGAGAGTGTGAGAGGCCCTTGGGCTGGGCAACAGCATCTCACCACCACCCATCTCCGAAAGATTATGACACGCGACGGACTCAAGATGAAGCACGCGGTTGTACAACTTCATCCATGGAAGCCCACCCTCCCGATAATCCGAGGGTTTGAGGGCATCCACTGAGGTGGGTCCCCACTCTCTCCTGCATATGGACTCCCAGAGAGCATCAGAGCATGCTAAAGTTCTGAACTTTTTGCAAGTCATGGAGAAAGAAACGATTGAATCAACAGGTAGGAGGAGCAAGATTGAGAAAAGATGGTCTGGGGCTAAATTGCTGATGGGAGATCCATCACTCGAGGGGGCGTTGCTCCTGTTGCTGGTACTGGTCTCTGCCATGGAAAGGGAGCTCTGGATGCTACTGGGTACTGGAAAAGAGCTGGGGAGAATCAATCATTGGGATGCTCTGGTGGGGGTGGAGAGGGAGGTAAAATGATGAAGAAGCTGGTGGGCTGATCTTGTCAAGAAGCGAAGCCAAAATGGCAGATGGTGAAACTTTCCGACTGGGACAGGATCAGGATGTATGATGGCGGGCACGGGGGGGGGGCTCCCATACGTTTTGTCCTGTTTCTGAAACTCTGAGCTCCAGTTGGTGGGAGCATCTTGTACAGTTCAAAACATCGGACTCCCCCAATCTAGTCCGACCCGTGTCTAGTTTCTCGGTTGAACAAAGATACAAAAGCCTGCTCAACATCTGCATTTCACTAAAGAAGGGGTGACGATCGATCGATCTCCTTCTAAATGAACTCTGATTGAACCTTCGGTTTGTTTCTTCGTCACCCTCGAACGGTTGGACGAGAGTTTGAAAAGAAGAAAAGTCTTTGATTTTGAGCTGGACAATGATGAGACTTGAAGGAAGTTACCAATCGCTAGAAACATACTTGTGCGTTGAATATATCCAAGATTATACTCATTATATTACTTTCGCGACTTCCCGCAATAATATAGGTATAAACAATTATTCTAAATATTTGTGTCGGCATACATTTTCACGAGAGAAATATTATAATACGTGGAAGACGGTAACAAAGCAAATATTCACATTGATCAATTTTCCTATAGACTTCACGTGAAATTTTATTTAAAATAGATTTGAACGCATGCCATCTAATTTTTGTGACGAGGGCTTTATTTATCGATCCTTTAATATTACTCATTCATCAAATATGAGTCCGATATGAAATTGATCATTTAATGTTATTATTTTTCAAATATGATTTTGATATTATTTGTTTGTCTTTAAATATATTGCTTGGTGAATATGAGTCAAATATAAGATGGGTATCCTTACATTATTAAACTCTTTTAAATAGAATCTACATATACGTGGTGAATTGTTTTTAAACATTTATTACCAAATTTCGCATTATTCTACAGAACTATGTACACGATTATGCGACAAAAAAATATCGATAAGAAATTAAGTACCAAACTGTGCATAAATATTAGATGCAAATTAGAGATTTTCTTGGATTAGAGTATGGCTAAAGTAACTATAAATAACAAATTATTTCAGTGAAGCTCGCGTGTAAGCATGCCACGTGACTTAACCTCGCGCGATCAATTGCATTCAAGGATGTACGGATATTTTCGAAGGGAGATAATGATATGAACTCTGCCTCAATAAAAAGTTACATAGAAATAAGAAGGTAAGAATATATGTCCTGCATCTCTAAGCCAAAGCCATGATTGGTGTCGCACTTAGGACTAATGTTCCATTTCTTAGATCTAAAAACTGATGATAAGGAACGCTTATCATAATGCCCATTTGAAGTCGAGATAACTACATGGTTTGAGTTAAAGACGTGAAGTATTTTGGTGTGGAGTAGCCCTTCATAATGGCTGAAAAAACCAAAAAACAGAAAGTTGCTCTTCCAAACAAATGTCTGATGTCGATGCTTTGGCTTCTCAATATTCTTAGGCTGTCCTCCAATTCTTATTTCTCAGTTCAATGGGGAACAAACTGACAGGGTCCGTTGCAAGCATTATATGAATATTTGCAATAGTAAAACTTGAACTATGAAATTGAAGTCCCAAGGATCAAATCCAAACATTTCCACACTGGAGATGATTAAAAACATAAAACAGTGAGGGAGAACCTACACATCCAGCCAGTTTCAGAATATATACAATAACAAAAAACAAGAGAGATATAAAATTATAAGTAGAGGCGGAGGATCAGCAAGTGATAACGATACTGTTCGGCCACTTAACATGAAGGGCTCTTTCGATTAATGAAAATCTAGAGAAGACTGCAAAGAACTATCGCGCTTATTTATACGCAGTTTAGGTCAAGATATACAAAACGCCGGAAAATTGCAGTTCCTCTGTAACCTAACAACAGGAAAGCCATCCCAAAACCCAGCAGTCGCTTGGCCAGCATATAAGGAAATTTTCAAAGACCTGCATCCATCTGGAAAGCCAGAAAGGACATCCTATGCAGTAAACTGAGTATGTCATCATCTAAAGGAAGTCTCTAACAGACCTCCTAGTGTGCTCCCTCAAAATGTCTGACATCGATATCTTGTTGCTGGGTCGAGCCAAGGACTGTAGTCATGATGAATCACTAGCATTTTCTGTGATTCTACGGACCATTTAATCATCCCCCGGGTTTGCGCTCTGCATCTATCAACATAGAGAGGAGATTTAACAAGTGAACACAATCCCAAGCAGAATAACAACAACTCTAAAGGACTCAAATAATTTAACGGAACCAGCAATTGGTTGCACACCTCGTTCCTGTTTAAGGAAGAAACTTGTCCACCTGGGTGAGCTGCCTTCGAAAGATCCCTTAAAGTTCCCTAAATATCATTGAGTAATTATTACAGTAAGCAAATGCTTTTCAAAATCTTTGAGACTCAAAAGCCATATAGACAAGTCAAGACATTTCTTATTTAAAAGTAAAAACTCGGTCAAGCATTTGCAAGTGAACATGCAATAATAATTTAGAAAGACACAAATCTAAGGCATCACTTTGACCACGCCAAAGCCTGCCAAACAATATCATAGTGTCTACCCTAGCCAATGCTAAAGTCTTAAAAGAACACCATTACCAGTAACAGCATCAGTCATCTTTCCTTCACCAATGTGGCAAATAACCCAATAAAGTAGATCACCTAATTTTCTAACCAGGATTAGCTATAACATACTTATAACAGTAAAATATTTTCCTCAATGAGCATTCTATAAGCAATATGCACGATATTGGTGCCATAGCTATTGTTTATATTGCATCCTGCAAATAGGAAATATATGATTTGAACAAACTCAGAACCACTTCTCAACTAGACTCTAGCATTCACCTTGTTTGCCCACATCAATCCACACGCATTGCAAAGGGTCCTCGGTCCTTCAGGGCCACGTCGCATCATTGGAGTAGATTTCTCACTAATCCCACAGTGATGACATCTGCACAGATTTTCAGACAAACATAAGATTTATTAAAAACTGAATGCAATGCAAGGCTCAACTTATGCAATGTACATTTCCTGATGGTAGCAATTAAGCTATCATGAAAACATATATACATGAAAAGCTAACAGGCTACTGTTGCTTGGATAAGGTAGTGCTTCATGTATCACAAGCAGTTTTGAGTATCTGGACTTCACATATGCCTTTGTTTTCCATCTCTATTAATTTTCAGCTCCCTTCTTCCATGTCCATAGATTAAATCCTAGAGAACAAATTTGCTCCCACTTTGAGAAAGTTATGAGATAATCCACCATTTATTATCATGAACAAGTAATGCGAATTGCGGAATAGTCAGCATAACTCTGTTAAAACCATTCTAAAATATGCATGTAAAATTCTTCAGGATAATCAAACTTTTCTAGATCACTTGTCATAAGTATGTTTTTTTTCTTCAACAAAGGTTGCATTAACTTGAGTAACTTTCTTACCTAAGTTCCACTATGCTCATTGCACGACCTACCACAAGAGAGATCATTAGAATGAAGCAACAATTGCCAAAGGAGTTCATGAGGACTTGGGAGCAGAAAATCAAATTTTTGGGATGAGGATCACGCGAGATAGATCAGAAGGACATCTAAAGTTGTTTCAAGAAAAGTACATTGAGAAAGTGTAGGGCAAATTCAGTGTTTGGCATGCAAAGGCCAGACGAACTCCTTTAAGAAGTCCCTTCAAGCTCTGGAAGGAGAGTCACCAAAGACAAATGAGGGGCAGGGATTACATAGCTAAGGTGCCTTATCTGTCAATTGTCAGCCATTTGATGTATGCTATTGTGTATACCAAACCACATGTGATGGGAGTTGTTAATAGACATATGGCTAATTCGAGAATAAAGCATTGGGAAGCTAAATGGCTACTAAGATACCTGATAGGCACTTCAAATATGACACTCTGTTTCATGAAAAACAATGTGACATTATAAGGATTTGTTGATGCAGTTCTTGGTGGTGACATGGACAATAGGAAGAGCACCTTGAGTTATGTTTTTACCTTAGGTGGCACTGCAGTCAGTTGGATGTCTAGATTTCGGAAGCGTGTGCCCCTCTCAACCATTGAAGCACATCTAAAGCTAGTAAGAAGATAATTTGATTGAAGAGTTTTCTGAAGGAGATAAGTAAGGAGAACAATAGAAGTGTTCTTTTCAATGACAGCCGGTGTTGTTTGTCCAGCAAAGAATCTAGTATTTCAGTCAAGGACAAAGCACATTTGGCTGAAGTATCATATTCGTGAGCTGATATAAGATAGGACGTTCCAATTGAAGAAAATCCCCGGTGCAAAGAATCTAGCAGATATATTAACCAAGGGTGTCACCATTGGAGAAACTGAGGCTATGCATTGCCCAGAGATCATACTCAATTTGAAATTTTTTATCCACAGGTGTTACTGTTTCTAGGCATGAGACGCATGATCTTTTATTAAAGACACCACACATTGACAACATAGCAGACACGTAACTTACAGGATCTTTTGATGCTGGGATCCGTTACTCTCAGGTTCCCAACTCTGGTTTGATTCCCATGTTGTCACAGCTAAAGAAGATTCATCGTTGTTGGATTTTGAAGATGAAAACTGACCCTTGTTTCTTTGCATCCTGAGACCATGTCAGATTAGATAGTAGGTAAGGTAGAAGGATTGTTACTTCTGTGCGTGAAAATAACTCAAGGTCAACTACCAAAAGTTTGATTAGACAAAGTAACACAAAAAAATTATCAAACATTGTGTCATACCTAAGTGCCACCTCTTTACGGACTGCATAGCGAATTTTCTTGTCAAAATTTCGTTCTTTTCTCTTTTCACGAAATCGGATCAGTGAAGCCAGCCTCTGTGGGACATTCAACCTTTGAGGAGTATCCGTAAGATCCTAATAAAATGCTTCATTAATGTCAAAGGCGAAAAAGACCGCAAAAAGAAGTATTCTTCGAACAAAGTTCCGATACCTGATTTTGGTTGGTGGCTACTGGGATAGCAGATGGATTAGGTGTCACTTCTCTTGCCCCAAGTAATAGCAGCACTGCTTGTACCTGAAATGTGCAAAAGAAACTAATGCATGACCTCAATCAAGAAATTATAGAACAGATGGCAGCTTAATGAAAATAGATGGTTATGTTCCTGCACAAAAATTCCAATAAAAGCTATCAAAGATGGCATAGGCAGAACGTTTCGGACTTCTCTTTTCTCCAAGTCCTTGGTTTTAGAGTTCAAAAGATTTCATGTCAACCAAGGCAGCTACTTCAAAAGATCAAATTTAACCAAACAAAGAAGGACCAAGAGGCAAAACAACCACAATTTCTCTATGTTTGCTCAACACGTGCACTCACAAAGGATTATCTTCTGTCGAAAAATGTTATACGAGGCTGTTTTAACTTGAAAACCGAGTCTCATTATGACAGACCAAAAGGCTAATCGAATTGAGAAAAGTCACCATGCGAAAAGAAAAGAACAGGGGATGGCTCAAAGTCCTACCTTTTGGGGCGAAACAGAGTCAAAGACATAAACTTGACCTTGAAAAGAAAGAGTGAGCTGGTCCCCATCATCACCTCCTCCATGATCCAACAAAGACCCACGATTGTCCGAATCGTTTCCGGCGTCAGAAGGGACATCCCCTTCAACGCCCTCCCCGCCGCCGCCGCCGCCGCCACTATCATCAGGATCACCATCACCATTCACATCATTCCCATTGCTCAAACGCTGTTGCACCTGCGACCCACGATGATGCCGGTACTGCGCTTGCATGGGATGCTGATGGTGGGTCGGATCCCCCATATCCATCCCACCATCATCGCGCCCATGAAAGCCATCCATGTTTCTTGGCCGTCCTCCTTCGCCAACTGCATCGAAGGCTTCTCTTTCACATACACATTGCCAGAATCACCTGCATGTCTATCATGATAACTAAACCAATCAGCCAAGAAGGGTAGTGAAACCAGTAAACCATTCAGCCCAGTGACGAGAAATGGGAAGAGGGAGATGGCTTTTTCGCAAAAATGAACAGTTATCTTACAGGAGAAATGAAATCAGAGGGGGAGTTGCGCAGCCGTTGGATGCAAGGTGGTGAAATTGATGGAATCAAAGGGCTGGGATAACTCCTCCTTTTAAGGGTTTTCTGAAAAAAAAAAAAAAACAAGTAAAGTTAACCCTTTTTTTTAGGTCAATTCTATAAAAAGGCACGAATTTTAGCTCTAATCCTAAACTTAGCCCAAATTTTATTTTGTTAAAAAAAAATCATAAACTTTCACCCATATCCCAAATCGGGCTCACTTTAGCCTTCTATCCACAGTCACATTAGTCATCGGATGTGACATTTTTATGTGAGCAATGATATTCACCATAGCAAGCTGAAGTGGAGATAAAGGCAAAATTACATCTAAACCTTCACTTCTATATCTCTAAGTTATGTTATTCTCTTTTCTTCGTCAAATACACGCTTACTCATTCGCTCATTCTCTCACATGAAGATGCTCACTCTTGCACATACTCACGCTTGGTCGCTCAAACGATATGTGCTTGCTTAAGGGTCGAAGTGGACAGAGAGTTGACGGCATTGAACAGGTCTTCTTCTTCTTCTTTTTCTTCTTCTTCCTATCATATTAGACATATCAAATTATGGTCATCGTGTTATTGATGGTTTTGTCTAAAAGTGATCTATCTCTCGGAAATGAAGTCAATTGAAATTTTATAGGTATAACGAATATATGAAGTTGTTAGGTCTCTTGAATCCTCTGGCCTAGAATGAATTTGATCATGTCGGAGCTTGAGCCTGAAATGAATTTCATCCTGACCAGAGGTGGATATCTCATCACTTGGAGTCTTGGACTTCGTTGATACCTTCGTGCTTGCCGGGTAAATGGTCTCCTGTTATCTACAAGGGCATCTAAAGAACGTTCGACAAATGTTGGTAACATGGGACTCGTCCAACCTAATGGAAATGTAAAAGTGGAGCGCACTAAGGTGAAGTGTCGTCTTTGTGCGGAAGTGGCTCACGATTCTTTGTCAAATTATATTGCCAATGAAAGTTGTGATGGTAGTGTGCATCGAGTTTTGAATGTCATCAATAACTGTGGTTTGTCTATTTCACAATATAACTTCGATATCTGCTCCTCTGATGCAGTCCGTTTACGACACTAAGGCAATATAATTTGACAAAGAATCATGAGTCACTTCCCCCACAAGAACAACATTTCACCCTTGCGCGCTCCATTTTTACATTTCCATTAGGATGGACGACTCTAGTTTTTTCAACATTCATAACCTGTTCTTTAGATGCCCTTGTAGATAACAAGAGACCATTTACACGGCAAGCACGATGGTATCAACGGAATCAAGACTCCAAGTCATGACATATCCACCTCTGGCCATGATCAAATTCATTCCAGGCCAGAGGATTCTAGAGACCTAGCAACTTCACAAGTTCGTTATACCCAGAAAATTTCAATTGACTTCATTTTTTAGAGATAGATCACTTTTAGACAAAACCATCAAGCACACGATGACCGTAATTTGATAAGTCCAATAGGATAGGAAGAGAAGAAGAAGACCTTCTGTTCAATGCCTTCAACTCTCTGTTCGCTTCGACCCTTGAGCAAGCAAAGATCCTTTGAGGCCAAAATTTCAGAAGGAAACGACATCTCTGAGCGACCGAGCGTGAGTATGTGCGAGAGTGAGCGTTTCCATGTGAGAAGTGAGCAAGCGAGCAGCGAGATCTTCAGACGAATTGAAGACTCACGCATGCATATTCGATGAAGAAAGAAAACCCTAGGGAGAACTCGTCCAATCTCATAAATCGTGCATTAGAGATGAAGAAGGGAAAGCCTAGGTGTAATTTTGCCTTTATATCCCCGTCAGCTTGCTGTGGTGGATATTTTTGCTGACGTGAAAATGCTACGTCGGATGACTAACAATGACTGTGAGAGGGTTAACGAGAGCAAAATTTGGGATACGGGTGACAATTAGTGATTTTTTTTAGACAAAATAAAGTTCGGACCAAATTTGATACTAGACACAAAGTTCGGGCTTTTTACGGAATTGGCCCCTTTTTTAAGTTTCTTGGCTCACTATATATATTATGCAATTCTCCTTAATTATGGTTGTTCTCTTTTGCAATATTTTGAGCACAATTAAATCTTTATAAAAAGAAAGATAAAAAAATGAAATTGACAAATTGTTTAGAGAGCAAGGCTACTTTTGGTAGTCAGGATAAAAGTTAAGATATGATTATTTTTACCTAGGAAAACTACAAATCCTAAACTTATCATACGAATGTCAATTCAGTCCTACACTTTTCAATTTTGCTAATTTAATCCTAAACCTTTTGTACGAAATTCCAATATAGTTTTTCCGGTCAATTTTCGTGAAAAATCGTTAACGTGTCGATCCAGTTATTATCAACCATCCTTCGTGGCACATCACCACATCAATGATTTTCGACGAAAATTGGCTGGAAAGACTACATTGGAATTTCGTACAAAGATTTAAGGCTAAATTGAAAAAAATTGAAAAATTTGTAATTGAATTGGTATTCATATAATAGGTTTATAACTAATTAGACAATTTCCCCATTTTAATCATATCTTATGTTTGGTTGCTATCCAAGACAAGATAAAGGTCAGCTGAAAATATCCTATCCTTCTTCTTTTCTGTAACTTCGGTTCACGTTGAAATTTCACGACTCACGCATAGCTCTCTTATTCATTTCAAAACTTTATGGAAGAAACAAAAGAATTAAAACTCTTTCTCATCCGTAACTCTTTGGTTCTACACGAAAACGGGGAGAGAGTCAAAACACTATAGTTTTCGGAATCACCAAAGTAAATGATCGTGCTTTCTTTCTCTTACTAGATCTAGCATTCTTGTCATAATTGATTACATGACTCTAAAATGGTTCCTTTACTGTCTAAGGTTTAGATTGTATAATAATTATGCGTTGATTGTTGGAGATAGTCTCCATTTGTGCATTTCCGCTTTCTTTATCAGTAAATCATGAGATATTCTTACTACTTATGTTTGTGCATTTATACTCATAGGCAGTTTCCACCAAGCACTGGATATGAAAGGATAAGAAAATATCCGATTTTATTATTATTATTCACTGAACAGTGGATGAGATATAGCAAAATATATATATTTCGTATCATAATCTATACAGTTTGATATTGACCAAAAATTTAGACGATCAAATACGGCAAAAAAATGATAGGTCAGGTGAAGTGAGTGAGTGAGTGAGTGAGGATTCAGGAATGGTAAATAATTAAAGGGACAGAGGGTCAATTTATATATAAAAAAAATGGACGAAGAGAAAAAAGACAATCTTGGGTCCGCTTTCATTCTTCTTGCATCGGGTGGTTGGCTCAGTGTCATGAAGGTGACAGTCAATTTACATCGCGAGCAAACTTTTGTATGACTCATGTTATGTTGCTTAATTGTGACATAACTCTCGTGGAGTGACTTCTAGATTGTTAATATCTTGATAGTGTTGTGGTGAGGAGCTTATCAACATTATACCCTCGTGTCGCAGATGGCGCGCAGTAATTACAACTAAAACAGAAAATTTCATAGTGAGCGTGAAACATTTATATGCCCAAAAGAGACTGCTAGACTGATCATCCCTCCCCATCCATATACTTAAAGAAAAATGAAAAATGAAATTGATATTTTACACTCGCGAAAATAAAATCATCGGTCTAAACGTATCTTTTTTGAATTGCCATTCCATTTATTAGAAAATGCAATAAAGACGCTCTACTTCGGTCAATTGATTGACATTGTTTTCTTCTAAGTTTCTTTGTAAACATATAGCCAAATAAAAAAAGAAAATTAAACTTTTCATTTTCTAACCCTCCCAACTTAAATATAAAATGATGTGATCAACGACTTTTATCACGTTATTTGCTTCACAAGAAATTCGGCTCAAACAATATGTCTTTGAAAAGAAAATATCCATCTTTGAGATGCCTTCAAGACAAAATTATGTCCTTAAAATCCCACGTCACTTATTTTAGTCTCACGTATCTTTGAAGCCACATCATATTCTCTCATTCTTGCGAGGGTTAATATCACGAAAAATCTCAAACTGGTACATCTATGACAATTTTACCCCAAACTAATTTTTTGACCCCCAAAAACCCTAAACTGGTACACTTGTGACAAATTTACCCTCGGTTTGTTTCCGTTAAATTTTACTGTTAAATTGCTTTGTTAAATGACACGCGACAGTTAACTGATGTACCGATTTTATGTTTTATCCTCCATTTGTCACTGGTGTACCAGTTTGTGATTTTTTGTGGTATTAATTCAATTTAACGCAAAATAACGGAGGCTAAACTTGTCACAAATATACCAGTTTAGAGTTTTTAGTGGTCAAAATATTAGTTTGGGGTAAATTTGTCACAGGTATACCAGTTTAGGGTTTTTTGTGGTTAAAAAAATAGTTTTGGGTAAAATTGTCACAGGTGTACCAGTTTGGGATTTTTCGTGGTATTAACCCTACGAGATATTTTCAACGGAAGTAGATTTGTATTTTGGTATTTCATAGACGTGGCACTTCGTAGCAAGTCTCTTCTTCTATTTAGTGATTAAATGAGGCCATCATAGTTGAAAGATACAATTACAATGATGGAATTGTACATTGATCTAGGGAATTATTTAATTCGCAACTAATTACAGATGAAGGTATCCAGCCGATGGGCTTTTGGCCCCTGATAATGGAGAACGATGAGTAAATGTCAAAATAAATTAGATGTTAATCAGGAAAATTACCAAAAAAGTCTTAAACCTTTTGCAATTGTGCCAATTCAGTCCTAAACCTTTTTTTTGGGCCAATTCAATCCTAAACCTTTTGCAAACCAGCCAATTCAGTCCTTTTGGCCGGCCGGCGCTGACGTGGCCGCCGGCCGGTGTCCACGTGGTAATATTTTAATATTTTTATTATTATTTTCGAATTTTTTTTCCTTTTTTCTTTTTTTTTTCTTTTCCTTCTCCCCCCTGGCCTGTCCGGCCAGGGGGGAGGCTCGCCGGCGAGGGCCCAGCTCCGGCGAGGCGAGCTGGGCCCTCGCCGCCGCTGGGCGAGCTCGCCCAGCTCCGGCGAGGGCGGAGCTCGCCCAACCATGGCACGCTCCGCCCTCGCCCAGCCATGGCGAGCTCCGCCTCGCTAGATCTAGGCGAGGGCGGAGCTCGCCCAGCCAAGGCGAGCTCCGCCTCGCCGGATCTGGGCGAGGGCGGAGCTCGCCCAGCCATGGCGAGCTCACCCAGCTCCGGCGAGGCGGAGCTCGCCTTGGCTGGGCGAGCTCCGGCCTCGCCCAGATCTGGCGAGCCTCACCCAGGGCGAGCTCCACCCTCGCCAGATCTGGGCGAGGGCGGAGATTGCCCAACCATGGCGAGCTTGCCCAGCCAAGGCGAGCTCCGCCTCGCCGGAGCTGGGCGAGCTCGCCCAGCGGCGACAAGGGCCCAGCTCGCCTCGCCGGCAAGCCTCCCCCCTGGCCGGACAGACCAGGCGGGAGAAGGAAATGAAAAAAAAAAAAGGAAAAAAATTCGAAAATAAAAAAATTATTAAAATATTTCCACGTGGACGCCGGCCGGCGGCCACGTCAGCGCCGGCCAGCCAAAAGGACTGAATTGGCTGGTTTGCAAAAGGTTTAGGACTGAATTGGCCAAAAAAAACGGTTTAGGACTGAATTGGCACAATTGCAAAAGGTTTAGGACTTTTTTGGTAATTTTCCCGATGTTAATCCATATGTGTTTGAATATGGTTATAAGTTACAATTATCAACTATAAACTACAAGTGAAACCAAAAATTGAAATATACATCTCAAATCAAAATCACAACCGTTCCAAAATAATTGAAAATATATTGAGAGATTTGATGTAGGAGTTACTCTCAAATGGTTTGGACTCCATAATCACATGTTTTAAATCCCTTCAGCTTCGACTCTACTTCCACTAGCACCTTGGTGACGAGCTCACTCAAAATGAATTGTAGCTAGAGCTCGAATAAAATGTTCGATTGCTAATGTGCAACTCTTATGGTAACACCCAAAAAGTGTTGCCGCAAAACACAAAAGCTAGTCGCAAAGAAAAATTCACGTAGAAAGCCAAAACTTAGAAAACAAATTCGACTTAGTTTTGACTAAATATTGACTTAAGCTTAAAAATGATAGCATAAATTCTAGAATTAGCGGTTGATATGCATAGTTCGGAAGACTAGGCACTAGCAAAGGGGCTCAAGATTTTTCTACCATACTTCATGACTAGAGAATGGGGAATTTGCCGACGTGGACGCCTGCCGGCCGGCGACCGGTCACTAGCGCCGACGTGGCGCTGACGTGGACAAATTAAATAATATTTTAATATTTTTTTGAATTTTTATTTTTTTCCTTTTTTTATTTTTTTTCCACTTTTTTTTTGGGTTTCTCCTTCCTATGGCCGGTCGCCGGTCCTGCGACCGGCCAGAGGCCAGCGAGTTCGACCTCGCCGGCCACTGGGGAGGGCGGCCTCACCCGGCGAGGCCGAGCCTCGCCATGGTTGGGCGAGGCCCTACCTCGCCGGATCTGGCGAGGTCGAGCCTCGCCCAGCCGCCGGCGAGGCCCGACCTTGCCCGACCATGGCGAGGCTCGCCCTCGCCGCGGCCTCCGGCGAGGGCTCGAGCCTCGCCATGGTCGGGGGAGGCCCGACCTCGCCGGATCTGGCGAGGTCGAGCCTCGCCCGACCAAGGCGAGGCTCGGCCTCGCCGGGCGAGGCCTCCCTCCCCAGTGGCCGGCGAGGTCGAGCTCGCCGGCCAGAGGAAGGAGAAACCCAAAAAAAAAAGTGGAAAAAAAA